ACCAACGCTAACCTGTGATGGTGTCACCAGACAAGCAGTGGTGGGGAGGAAAGATGCATAACAGCTCACCAGCTAGTGGTTAGATCCAGCTTTTTTTTGCTAGTGGGAAGGGAGGCAAATGATGATTGTTAGCGGGTCATCCCATATTTGAAAAACACGTGTTAACTCTTTATTTTCAGTGGGACAGAGGCTTGAGTATCTAGTGCATCCCCTCCTGTCTTCTAGGGCCTTGTCAATGACATTCTTGCCCAAACTTTACGTCTTTGTTTATCTAGAGGACATTGTGATTTTCTCTAAGGAACTAATTTGTCAGGTACATGCTTTTCTGCCTGCTACAAATTTACCTATTAATTTAGATGGAGAAGTGCAAGTTGCATTCAAGACACTGAAGCTCATGTTTCTAGAGATGTTTACACCACTCCACTCTGTGCACACCTAATCCTCCATGACAATTAATTGTGAAGGTGAATGCTTCCAACACCTGTATAATGCCATTCTGAGTCAAAAGGCTGCTGATAATAAGGTTCACCTGTGTTCCGATTTATCGTGGTCCCTGTCTGATGCTGAGAATAGCTATATAGATGGTGAACAAAAAATATCAATGGTTAAACGGACTCTGGAAGAATGGAGACACTGATTGAGGGGAATGGCGGCCTAGTGGTTAGGGCATTGCACTTGGAATCCAGAGTTCAAACCCCACTCTCACTGACTGCCACTCTGGGTCCCTGAGCAAAGCCCCTTATCCCCACACTGCTCCCCAGGCTCTGTGCAATGAAAGCCCACTGCTCCCGAAGGGGATGGATTTAATACAGAGAGTTTATTTCGTGGCTCTGTACTTGTGACAGTATAATGACAATAAAAGCAGAAAAAAAAGATTGGAAGGATTAAGGAACAATTCCTGGTGTGGACGGACCACAAGAACTTGTGTAGCTGAAGTTGGCCAAACTCAATTCCTAAAAAAGTATTGTAATATGTGGCTACATGTCGTTCCTGCAACTTATCCAAGCCATCCAAAAGACCACTGGCTTGTTCTTGTCATTCCTCATTCCTTCTTTGGCCTGGTCAAACATCTCCATAGATTTCATCACTAGTTTCCCTTTGTCTAATGATCACATTGTGACCCTGGCTATCATCAACCACTTCTCCAAGATGGTCCACCTGGTTCGTCTCATCAAGCTCCCATCAGTCCTAGAGTTGGGAAGCTTCCTGACAAAGGTAGTTTTTTTGCCTACGCTGTTTGCTGTTGGACATAATTTCCAACAGAGCCCCACCTTTCCCCATTTCAAAGTTTATCAGTTGCCATCAGCTCAAATCTACATAGTAACATGAACATCCATCCCACCTTCAAGGTCTCCAAGACTAACCTTCTTTGCTGCTCTGATCCTCAATTGGAGCTCTAGCTGGACTCTACGACTTTTTCTTATTCAGGAGGACTTTCAGTTTAGGAGTCACCCAGGGGTGGTTGTTTGGAAAGCTCCGTAGCCGTTGTGTGGGCACCGGGCTCTCCACACAGAAGGTCATGTAATCAGTAATACATTCAGTCTGGTTGTTGACATCATGACCATGAAAGCTTAGAACATTCTCCAGTCTGTGGTTCTGAGGTGTCTGTCTGTTCATCAAACAATGCTTTAATCATAAAGGGTAAAATAAAAAAGCCATTTTAAATATAATTATCAGTAAAAACTTACACATTGTCTCTTTAAGTTAATACAGCTGAGTAGGCATTGACAAAATCCTTAAGCCTGGGTAAAGACTGCGATAAACTGACCAAGATCCATCTTGGACAAATCAATGTCTCCAATATTTTCTCCTAATGTTTATTAGCTTGACAAAAAAATCTAAAAATAATTAATGCAATCTAATTTTAAAATGTCAACTGTAACCTCAATTAAAATGTTCTTGAAGTTGGGACAGTGCATGTTAACAAACACACATGAATGTAAGCAAGCCGGATTATAACCATTTGCTAATTTCCATCCCTTGTTCCATTCTCAGTTTTTACCATAAATTACTTATCCAAAAGTCTAAAGAACATACACAATACTGCAGAAAAATGTGATTGTTGACATATTATATCATTATGTTTTTTTTATTTCGATTACCTTATGATTATCCTTTTTTCATCCCTTTGCCCCTCTCTTAGCTAGATATATGTTAGGAACTGATGTGAAGATAAAGCAGATCTATCATTCTGTCAAAAAGGCAGAGAAGGGAGGTAGAGTGTGGAATGTCCTGGCACAGAACGCAGGGAAGGGCTTTTCAGTGCAATGCTTCTCTTCACATTCCCCACTGCGTCTGCTCCTGCCCTCTCTGATTCGGCATGCCTGCCTGTTTTGATGGACCAGGAAACTCCCAAGTAACCACACTAATCCATTCCTATCATACCTGTACCAGCCATACTGACCCATATCATTGGATAACAAGCCAAACAGCCAAAAATGACAAGCCCAGGATTAACAAGAAATGTAGCTGCAAGGATAAACCAACGTAAACAGCAGTGTAACCTAGACGACTGTGTGTCAGCTTTGATTTCCAGTTACCTAAAAATAACACCTATATGCCAATCAGATTGAAGACACATTATTGTAATGTGGGAGTAAAGATCCTGGAAGAATGAACTTGTAGATATTAGGGATGTCAGAAGCCGATATTGGATATTCGTCTTTTAAATGCAAAAAAACAGATATTTGATGCTCATGAAATTTCCGATATAGACTTGCTATAAAAAAAAAGGCTTATGTCTAAAGTACATTTAACTGTTGGTCAATAATAAATGGACCAGTTGTGCTCATTACTATTGCTTTTTGAGTAATATTATGTATTATTTGTGTTGATATCGTATCCAGTCAATATAGGCTATCTGTGTTGTAAAAGGTGTAATATCCGTATCATACTGGACGTGAAAAAGTTGTAGGTCACTAAGTCTAACCAATGCTTTGACTCTAGTGATTTAAGAGTAAAAAACCCCTACCCTAACACCTTTTAACATAAAATCGAAAATATTTGTATTATTTGAAACACATCTGTAGAAGACTTTAATCTTACAGCAGGATAGCCCTATAAAAACAAGGAGAGTTAGAACAGAGTGGTTTACATTAAGTTTTATGAATATTTTAAAAATATCTGACAACATTTAAAATAATCCAGATTGAGAATTTGTGAGAAGACCTGCATATTTGGATCAAGCTTTTCCATAGCAATTAAAAACATTTTACAAGTAAGTTGGAGAAGGACAGTATGCAGCAAGCTGGAAAACATGAATACTATTGATTATATATCAATACTATTGGAGGCACCAAATCCCCATAGCATATACCTATTTTGCCAATAACACTTCTTAATATGTCCCAATTAAGAAAAATTGTTATTATAAATCAGTATCTATACTATAAAATCTCTAATCCACCATCTGCCAGTACACGGCTGAAAAACAATTTATCAGCTTATAAACCTATTTGATATGAGTCTTACATTGGCATATACAGCCATATAAATAAAAGTTGTATAACACTCACTCTCAGTATAAATCATCATGAACTCCACAATTTACAGTCTATAAAATGCATAAATATTCCAATTAGATGCACATTTGCCACATTTTATTGAATTTCTTGTCAAATTCCTTAAAGTAAAATCTGCTTCTTTTTTCCTTAACTTCTCAGCTCAGTCCACTCTGTTTTCCTCAACTATCTTCATTTCCAATGCTGTTGGATTTTTTTCTTCTTCCCTTGACTATGAGAGGAGCTGCATGGTAGGAGTGTGTTGTCTTAGTGCCAGGGCAAAAAATAGACAGCAAATTACAGAGCCTTCTGAAAAGACCCCACCATGCAGCATGACCTCAAAATAACACCAAGAGACATATACTCACATAGAAATGTGAAGTATACATTATGCTGTTCTACTTCTAGTTTAACTCATTGATGTGATGGCCACATAGAAACCTTTACAATGTGCCAGCCAACAGCCCTAGACTTTGTTTGAATTTATGTGCCTCTTCAGGAAATTCTTACGCTGATTCACAGATGTTAGCACGATTACAGCCTCATCTCATCTTACTATGAAACACAAGCACACATCTAAAAGTAGTTGCTGCTATATTTTAGTTCCTTTGAAAGGGTTCAACTTCCTCATTGCTATTTCCCTCAGCTCATCAACTATTTTTAAATGAAAAAAAATTTTCTGAGTCACAATGGGAATTGCTATACACCAATGCAACACCACATGAGTGTCTATATTTTGTCAGATTACAAACAGAAATAAGCGTTTTTCATTAGAGCTATTTTTCTTTTAAAAAACGTACACAAAAGGTAATGCATATTTGTGAAATGGAAGAAAGAGGGTACAATTTTTTCAAAATATTTTAACAAAGAAAAATGTGAAATGTGTTATGAACATTTATGTTCAGTGCCCTTTTCTATCATAAACACCCTGCCCCTCAAAAGGCTTTTTGTGGTGAGGATTTTTAGAAAATGGCAACAAACTAGGCAAAAATGACAACAGCTGGATCCATATATAGTGTGAGAAAACATGTATAAAAGTTGACTTTCCAGGAGGACAGCGACAATAGAAATACAGCTGCAAATGCAATGGAATAGGTTACATTAAAACATTCATATTTTAGAATATTCCTCACAAAGTCTGAAATAACAATTGAGAAAGATTTGAAGACTGCCATTGCTAATGCCTTATAAGGTGACTCTACAAGGCAATAATTTCAGGGAGTTGAGGCGTATCTTTTCAGATTGGTTATTTTTAAACACTTTTACATTTTTTCTTTCTTCTTTAACGCTAAGTTCTCTGTTCCAGTCTATCCTATAAAATAGAAACAGAATACATAGAAGATTTTGATCATGATATGAATTGTGAAAAAGATTATTTGGTATCAGCACTCTAAGGCTTTATATCTAGGCTTCTGAAAATGTAGATTTACTATACAAGAAGCAGAAACAGACACCCAGGGGGAGTGATGAATGAATGTCACAAGTGTTTGTCACACTCACCTTGAGTGAGTCAAAACAAGCAATGACTCTGCCGTTTTCCACTTGACAGCTCTTGGCAGGGTGGGCGAACTTGCATTCATTGTCCGGTCGCGAACATGTTCCTCTCTGGAATTCTCGACAAACCTCCAGTGTCAGCCACTTTGTGTCCCGGATCGGCGTCACATTCACTGCCATTTCAAACTAGGCAAGAGGGGTCTTTTTGGGAGATCAGCTATCAAGCAAAAAGAACTGTATGTAGGGCTGTAAGTTCCTAATAAAACTGGGACAAATAATGAGAAAGGATAGGTTGAGGACATGGGAAACAAAGCCCGGTTTTCAGGGCTGTTCTTCAAGGTTGTGATCTGAAAGATGTCTGTTAGGCCTTGGGCTCTCCTAACATCTGCAGTCCATCCCAGGAGTATGTTTGTGGGTTAAACAGGAGTCATTCAGAGCCTGCCAACCAGGATCTATGCTGCTGACCAGAGAGCTTTGTCTTGTAACCTCTTTCTTAACGCACACACACAGAATACCAGTTCTCTCAATTTACTCGCTTGTCAGTTGAACCGTCAGATGAGATGAACAGCCAAACACATTATCGATCAAGCTTGGCCCATGATGAAAGAACGCAGGGCCAGCAGAAGGAAGAAAGCTGCAGGAGAGAAAGGCTGGCATGGAGGACAGCAGTAAAAAAAAATTGTTCAGTCCTCAGAAGCCGATAAAAGCTGGTTGTCTTCAATATCTGTCTGCTGAGGAAGGGGAAGTGTCTGGCCTCCACAGAGGAAGCTTGAGAAGCATGGATGGTAGAATGAGCAGGACAGAGGGAGGAGAGGCAGGAGGCGTCAGCTGCACACAGACGGACGGCCTTAGCGGATGGGGCTGGCAGTCATGGCAGTCATGGCAGACCTGGTGCTCTTGGTGCGACCCGGCAGACCCAACAAACTTGGGCAGGCACAGGCGGCTTCAGACGAGCCAAACACACATGCGGGTCAGCACATGAAGGCACTTCTCTCTGTGGAGAAGCACAGAGGACAATCAGGACTTTGCACATACAAAACAAATTCATGCATTAAATTGTAGACATGTTTTCAATATATTCTCTCTTATATTTTCCCACAGAGGGGAGGAAGGAAATCATATTTTTAATTCTGATTCATAATTAAACTACTTTAGAATAATGCATAATGCACTTAAAACATTTCTATATGCAAGAGGAATTATGGGTTTCACTTCTAAGAATTAAAATCCAAATTTAAAAACCCTGGTTATAGTATGGTGATAATTAATAATGTTATCCTACATCTCAATACCACACTGAGAGTAACTGACCATGAAATGTTTTGATTAGTAAATGATAAGTAAGCTTATCCCTGTTGAGACTGCAAATGGCCAGTAAGGTAGCCAGATGATTCCAGCATCACTGCTGGCTACAGGCCAAATGGGATAAAGAGGTAATGACTGCATGAGGTCATCATGAAGGACAGAGGGAGACAGCCACAGACTAGTGTCTGTATATAGGCTACCCAAAATATACCCATTCAATCAAATATATGATCAACATGTGCATTTTGTAATTGAAAAGAAGAAAATTCAAAACAAAAAAAAAGCATCTTTTTCTTTGATTATTTCTTCAAACTAAATATTTGGTTGATACTAGAGTGCTTCCAATGGCATTGGAACAGGGTATTGAAAGCACTAAGATGTTGAAATTTTGTAGCAGATAAAGGGTTTTATCTCCAAGACGGTTAATGACAGCAGCATTCTTTGAAATAGGCCACACTGCTTATATCCGAGGGAGTCATGGTTCTGGTGGCAGCACAAGCAATAACTTTATAAAACTGTTATATCTCATGTTATATGTCCTCTGATGCACATTCACTCAAAGTGGAATGAGCTAACTCTGTATTGAATAGTACAATCACAAAGAAAATGGTTTTGTTGGGAAGTAAAACAAGGGATTAAACCAATAAGTCAACACAATCACATGATATTTTTTTTGTGTATTATTTACATTTAAGATTAAATATTTGACATGCAATCTATAATAAATGTACCCTATTTTTCGAACAATAACTGCTATAGTACAACAGCTGCTGTTAATTTATCAGTGAAAATTGATCAGAGTAAAAGTAAAAGGCTGATTTGTGTAACTTTTTTTATTTTTAATCATCAAAATGTCTATAGGCGTTTTTGTAGGAGTAGTTTTATTTCAGTTATCGTGTAAATGAATAAAAGTAATCTTTGAAATTGAATCAGAAATGTGTATATTATCGTTACACTAATTAACTTTGCATTATACTGTGAGACCACTGGGTAAGCAAAAGAGAACAATAATTCTTGAGAAGATCTTTTAGCAACTGATACCTTGCACTTCTGATTGTTCCCCTTTTATGTGAAGTTAAAAATATAATGAGATGAAATAAGTACAGCAATCCTTTTAACTAATCAAAACTGTAATAGCCTAATTTCAAACAGTATTCTGTTCTGTGTTTGGAAAAGCCTGTATTAAATTTTATGAGCTTGGTGTTGGTGGCAGACACAAACATTCAACAGATGCAAAACACCAGATGAATAGTGATGAGATGAACAGGAGAAAGCTGTTTAGGGAACCAAATGCTGTGTTTTGCATGTTCAGGTTAAAGTGATGCACAACAAAATGGAACGGAAAATTCTGCCAACAGTCCAACTCGCTATAAAGGTTAAAAAGATTTAAGCATGGCATCTTTTGGGCAGCTATACTAACAAAATACATTAGCCACACTCTTCCAGTATAGAGAAGAAGACCATAGAAAATTATGACAGTGATCTAAGAATTGAATAATGGATTTTATTTCAGACTTTCATGAATGTAGATCATGCATCTAACCTTTCACTCTGTGCACCTGACTTCCAGTACCAGACAGAGTCCTGTCATCTGCAGATATACTCAGATGACTGTGCAGTCATTGGGTGCATCAAATATGGACAAGAAGCTGAGTACACAGATTGGCATTGTGTGTGGAAACCATCATGAATGTCAACAAAACAAGGGAGATGACAGTAGATTTTAGAAGAAACACAAAGAATTTGAATCCTATCAACATCATGGAAAATAACTGGAGTTGGTGGAGGAGCATAAATAATTAGGTGTTCACATGGACAACAATCTTGACTGAAGATGCAACTGCGAAGCCATCTACTGTACAAGAAGGGATAGAGCAGACTTTACAGTAGTTCCTAAGGAAGCTTAGGCCCTTCAGGATTTGCATCAAGGTGCTACATATCTTCTACAAGTCTGCTCTGGAAAGTGTGATCTCTTCATCCATAATCTGCTTAGGTAACAGCATCAGAGGAAATGACGTTTAAAAAGCTGTGTCTGTTCTATGAACTCATCTAGAATATGATTTCACAAAAAAAATATTTTTCATAAAGTGAAGAATATTATTGACAAGAGTAAGCATCCTCTTCAGAAATTTTTAAACAGTATCTTCAGTTAGAGGCTTCTCCAGATCCAGTTGAGACAGACCATTGCAGAAGGTCCTTCCTGCCTACAGCTATCAACATCTACAACACATGTTAAAAAAAACAGCAAGATTTAGACAAAGTTAATTGTCATTTTGTACACACAGAGTGTATACCGAATAAAATTTCATTTTGTATAGCTCTCATGACATTTCAATATCTTAGAACGGCATATTATGTGGAATTGTCGAGAGACGTATCTGGTTTCTGCCACGAGGCGACGCTGTGAGACAATTATCACTACAGTACCTACCAGAACATTTAATTTCCCTTATGGTTTAATAAAGTGTTTTTGAATTGAAATTTAACAAAATAACTAGCAAAGTTGTTGCGGTCTTGTTGATTGCTATATTACAGATCTGTGAGGGTTTTTTTCAATTACAGTGGATTCTGGATGAAGAAGTAAATCAAACTCTACCCGAGGATGACTTAGGCTGTGTGCGAACTTCCACACTAACCATTATATAGGGTATTATATAGTGGTTACGCCATTTTAGATCAGTGTCAACACATCCAGTGGATGAAAAAGTAGTGTACTCCAAATTTCCCATAATGCACCTTGAAAAGAGCTCTCCTTCCAAAGCATCATGGGATTTTTTGCTAACAAAGATAGTGCAGGCACTGTGCGGGGAGGCAGAGTTAGGTCACCAACAGGAAGCAAAAGGTTGGTATCATCTGTCCGAACAGTCAGTTAACTGAATTAACTACAAAGTCCCTGCTCTATAGTGACTGAGGGATTTAGGGGTTAGGGTGGACATTTGCACATAGCCTGAAATGAAATGGAAATTGACAGGAAACAGATTGCTCTTACATAGACAGATCATGACCTATATCTGCATTTCTGCCAAGCATAAACTCAAAATAAACTAAACCGGTCAAGTTATGCTCAAAGTGGCACATCTGAGGCTCTTAAAGCTGGAGATTCTTCAAGTTAAAATGAAAATATTTTCACCTCTATATGAAGCCAAATATGTATACATATTCAGAGAGATCTCTGAAGCCCTGAATGTATTAAGACACTTCAAACGTTCTTTCTGACAAGGCAAAGAAGCCACATCTAAAACTGGAAAAAGGGTCAGAAGAAACATTGAAGTAGGGTCCAAAAGCTGCCCCAATACAGCTGCACACTTAAAATGACATAAAAATAGGACAAGCTGTTGGATACTTGTAATTACGAACTGCAAATTTTTTTTTTTTTTATCTATCATACAGTGGCATTAAAAAGCTACTTTTACTAAGTTCTTTGACAGGCAAGTCAATGTCTAATGGCTAAATATAACCTTTCAACATTAAATGCCTGCTATTCACTCTAACAAACAGAAGGTGGATTATGAATTACATTCAATATATAATATATTTCTTGAAATTAGTATAACACAAAAACTGTCTTATTTGCCCTTGTCCTTTTCAGATTTAACTATATATTTAAAAAAAATGCAACTTATACTGAAAAATATCCACAAAAATATAAACATTTATATTTTCATATCCTAACTGTAGAAATCGATTAACACATTAAGATAAGTGGAAATCATACTTTACAGTTATATGAGTGGAAAGTTAAACTAATTAGCTTTTGCCCTAAATGAACAAAAATATATTTAATAAAATGATCAGTTTATGAGTATGAAATAACACAAATAGATTGTGAGAAACTATTGCTACTATAAAGTCTATAAAAACATTGGAGTTAAAGGAGTAAAGCACAGATCTGGTGCAGCCTGGCCATTCTGTACGAATGGACAGGACAGCCTGGTGTGGTGGAACCAATAGCTCTGTTTGGGTCAAGCTTGATTTTTTAAAATAAACAGTCACTCTGTCTCACCAACAGTAAAGGTATCTGCCTTGATGAACCACCAACAGACAGAGTAGCAGCGATTAGGAGAAAGCAGACACTATCCTTTGCTATCTCATTTCTGTTTGGCAGAGACAGGTTCAGAGGCAGTGCAGAGGAAAGGAGTAGAGAGGGAGAGGATAAAAGGAAGAGAAGACTGACTGTGAAATGTTCTAAAATAAGTGTCAGGGAGCAGGTAACACAAACACTATGGTGAAAATGTTAAAATAGCTAATTCAGCACAAATAGCTTAATGAGGAGGTAAGATATGGGAGCAATATTGTTGCACAATTATTTGCAAATGTGTGCGGAGAGTTGTGTGTCTGTATCTAGATTTGTGTGTGTGCAGTGGGATTTGAAAATGTGTGAGGGAGATTTGTCAGTCTATACGAATAGCTGCAAATGTGTAAAATAACTTGTGTGTAATTGATTTGAAAATGTGTGAAAAATTCACAAGTTTGTATTGCGATCTACAAATGTGTGTTAAGATTTATAAATGTGTACTAAGATCTACAAATGTCTAAATTAGTCTGTAAACACAAAGAGTCCCTTTAAGTCAGATACATTTTTGCTACAACACCGAGAAATACATATAATAATAATAAATCATTGGTTACAAGTCAAGCGGTTTCTCGGTTGGCTCTCTTTACACACGGGATTTTTGCTAAACTTCTACC